CCACAGGTACTATAATCCCATAACTGTACAATCTGTTTCCAACACCAAATGAGACTGAAAAGAAATGGACTATTTGAATGAAAATTTACTTAGCGCTAATCTATCTATTTATCGGTACACTGTGAGAAGAAATTTTATCAACCTTGTTGCATAATATGGAAACAGACTCTTTCGCCTTTTCTCTTTTCACCAAATTATCAGATACAAGAAATATCCTATTTTAGCTTATAAAGGCTTTAAAATGCAAAAAAATGAGCCCACCTTAAGATATGTTGAAAGAAGCAAATCTTTATCAGGGGGGATTAGAATTCCACTCTCTGATATTGCTTTATGAAAGAGACCCTTAGACAAAGGAGACAAAACCTGCCAAGAAGGGAAGAACAGAAAGTATTTATTCTAATTTAAGGTCCTCATCCCATAACTTTATTCTTGATTAGACTGCTGGATTTAGTGGGGAATTACATATTTTCATGTGCAGGGGAAGGGGCCAGATTTAGCACAATGTGCGATTAATCTTACTTTCAAAAACGAGATTAAGCATGAAATGTTACACTAATTGAGCTTCTGAAGATTTTTTAAAGATTTTACTTTTTAGCACATCTAATGCATGCCTACATGTGCAAAAACAGAGCAAGATCCTGCAGACACACCAAAGAGCGTGACAGATCCTGGATCTCCACCGAAGTGTTCAATATTTTCTTGGATCCACCGAAGAGCCGCTACTTGATCCAAAAAGGCCCAGTTCCCACGAGCATGTTCATCACCAGTACTGAAAGAAAAGCAGTATAAGCCAGCTCCTCAGGAAGATTAATAATTCTTCTAATACCAGAATAAAATAAACCTCACCAATTTACCCATTTTGTGCAAAGTGGCCAAGGAAAGATCTGTATAGCCTACTGACCTAAAGCCCTTCAGCGTTAGATCTAAGCCCCACTGACCTCACTGGCTTCTACTGTTTGTTCACCCATACACAGATGGATTCCTGCCCTTTACACTATGTGATTTTTTTGCTTTACACACCAATGGATGGAAGTAAAGGCAAGAACAAACATCCTATTCAGAACCAAATAATCCCAACTATGATTTGATAGCAGGCTACAATCAAATGACACCGCAAATGGAATTTACAGGCATTTCTTATTGTCCTTAATGTCCTGATGTCAGTGAACTACGTACATTTAAACCACTGTAACTCTGGGAAGCTGGTATAGAGGTTCAGCTGATTTAGAAAACAGAACTACCCATTCCTTAAACATGAGAGGAAGTATTTTGTAAAAAGTGAAATACGTCATCTTACCTGAAGAATCCAAGGAGTCCGAGTCTGTACTGAATTATTACTACCACAACATTCTCGTAGGCTGATAGTGCAGAACCATCATACCTAGAAGCACCACCAAATATAAAATTGCCTCCATGGATCCACACCATTACCTTAGAGAAAAAAAGGGTGAGACACTCTTTTATACATTGCTTGGTAGATTTCATTTGAAAAAGGAAGACAACATCAGAGAATTAGGAACTCCAAATCACCAAAGCTCAATGGGAGCTGAATTTTAGGTTGGTGGACTTCGAATTTTACATAATAATATTATATCTTTGCTAATGCAGCATCACAATTTCAAAAGCAGTTAAGTGACTTAGGAGCAATCATTAGGTGCGAAATTTGTATGACACAAGTTTGTACAATGGGTTTACGTACAGGTAACTTGTCCTTCTTGTTTGAACCAGCAGGGCTGTAAACATTTAGATACAAACAGTCCTCAGAAGTTCGGAATGGAATGTGTTTTTCTTTAAAGTTTTTTTCAGCTATTTTCAACATAGACAGATCTTGAGGACATCTTCACAAAAGAAAGGAAGTATGACTATTAGTAATTAAACTGCACAGCAACAATCTAACAACAATAGAGAAAACACACTTTCTTTTGCCCCACAGACAATTCCCACAGGATGCTCAAATTTTGTGTTACTTGTATACAGTTAGAGGTACAACCCGTAAAAGCACAGCTCTGTACTTGTCCTTCAAAAACTCAATTATGTCAGCACAGTTTAATGAGAAAATGTGATTTCCAAGGATAGGAATTTCCCAGAAAATCTTTGTGGTTCCTAGTCCCGGAGTTCTGATGAAATATTTCAGTACTGGCAGCATATTCAATACTAGTCAATATAAGCTCCTTACCAAAAATCAGACCTCTATACCCTAATAAACACAACAACACTGACAAACATGTGCAGGTCCTACAAATGAACTGAATGGCTCTCACAGTGGTGGGTAAGAAGTGGCATCTCTCACATCATTCCAGGATTCAGGTGGTTCAGGTGGGGAAAACCTCAAAGATCCAACAGGTGGTTTTGCAAAAGGAATCCCAAGGAAAACATTTACAAGTCTGTCTGTCCCCTTCACATTTGTCTGTCTCCCTTTGAGCCGTCCGAGTGTGATAGTTACTTCTGGCTCAGCATCATTCTGTCCTAAGTAACACATAAGGTAAAAAAAATTATTTCAATTCCATCTTCATAATTATCAGACTGTCTTTTAAATGAAGCGTTTTTTACTGACTGTTTAATTTAGAAGATTTCGGCTTGTTCAATTTTGTTCAGTTTCCATTTTGCTTTTGTGCAATGACAGACACCCCTTGCCAAATACTCCCATAGCTGCCTCTGCCAACTGGAGCTAGGTAGGACGTAGTTCACTTACTATGCAAGAGCATAAAGCTTAAAAACAAATTTCAGAGCAAACAGCAACTGTCAAAATCATTAACATTTTCTAAATTTATCATCCAACAAGATCTTAAAAATATTTTGTTTAGATAATTTGGAAATGTGTTTGCTTTCTACCTTTTAAGAAAGAAAGATAGTTTCATTTACATAAAGTCATCTCAGAAATGGTTTCATCTCACAAAACCAGTAATTTTTGCATCAAGTTTATTAGGACACTTTGGCAGATTGCTAACACAAGTATAAGAGATGTACTGCCTTTGAAAATTACTACACTGCAACTTGTTAGTGGAGTTGCTTCCCCAATAGCAATAATAAGAGATTTTGCATCTCACCTTCTGCTCCGCAAGTGATGAATGCTATAGTACAAAACATGGTACAAAGCAAAGAAATCTGTCTTTGAGGAGCCATTTTCCACCCCCATTTGGACTCTAGATTATTTTCTGGCTTTATGTAGAAGAGAACGGTTCAAAGGTCCCCGGTGAGGGCACTGTGAGCAGGGAGTGCAGCTAAATTCCCTTTTGAACATGCACTGCACTGAGCACTTTCTGAGCTGTACTTGATACAGAGTATACATACAATCCCTTAGTGTAACACACCTACCTAATCATTACCTGAGCCTGAGAATTAATGACCTGAAAATGACTCAGCACCATTTGTGAACAACAACAAAAGGTCTAATCATAGTTAATCTGCTGTTAGTCCTACAACCTGAGAAAACTGTGAAGCTCTGAAGAGGTTCCAGAGCCGTCGGCACTTAATTCTTGTAAAAACCCCCCAAAACCAACAACAAAAACCCCACAAAAAAAACGCCAAAACAAACAACAGGATTGCGGATTACAAATAACTAGGAAGTAACAATTAAAAAAAAAAAAAAGAAAAAATCAAAATAGTTAATTCTTGCAGCAGTTTTAATGAGGGATAGCACATCTGCACCATAATTGACACTATATGTGCCTTCCAGCAGGGACTAGTCTTCAGCCTCCTAAATAGCTCTTTATCCCTTCTTGAATAAAAATTGGCCTCCTGCATTTTTCAAAATTAAAGGGGAAATTAAAGCTGAGGGTTGGATGATAGCTTCTTCTCTATGAGCAGCCTCAGTGGAGGTCAGAAAGTAAGGTCTCCTTACCAACATCGTACGGGGTATGTGCTGCCTTCAAAAAAGTGGGAAAGGCCATGACCTCACCTTCTCTATAAAGTAGCTTCCTATAGTGGAAGTAGGCTGGCGATCCCCCACAGGCAGTTTTCACCTGCTGGCTGAAAAAGTCCTCAAAAAATCCGTAGTTTATGTAGAAGCACAACATCCCTCCGTGTGGATGACTGGCCCTAAGCAGAGTAGCCTCAAGGCCTTCTTCACAGTCCAGCTTGCTCCACTAACTCCCAATTTTCAACTGGCAAAGCACTCTCTACGTAATGGGTCTTTGCCTTTCCACCTTTGATTTGTTTCACAGCTCCTGGACAAACAGTGTCATCAGCACTCGGTTCCAAAGCATACCACCTCAGGCTCCTCTGCACTGCCTTCACTTCACTCCCTTCCAGCATGGACACTCATAAAGCCTGTGAAGCCAACTGCTCCACCACAGATCCTGCATCTTGTAAGTTCATCCTGCTTGGGATACAGAGATCTGTCAAAGTAAGTCAGTTCTAACAAAAACAGTTTCAAATGAGATAAGTCAAACAAGATTTTCGGTGCAAGAGAATTCAGAGCTACTTGCTATTTCTTATACAGTTCCTGGGTCTCAGGGTTGTGATAGCTTTGAAAAGTGTGCCAATTTCTCATTAATTTAACTTGGAACTGTGCAAATATGCATTGCAGAACATAACTTGCCTCTTATTTTCTATACTTCCTTCAAATCTTTCTCGAACATCCTTTCTGTTGCAGTTATTTTTGTTCCAGTCCAACAGGAAGAGCCCTGGGATTTTTGTTGATTCTTCTTGTGGCCTAGAAGACAGACCAAAACCAGCAGACAGATTTCAACATCCAGGGCTAGGTGTGTGCACCTGTTTGTGTATGTATACATCCATCCATGCACATAGAGACACGAGGAAGACAGCAAGGAGTTGGGAAAGCCAGGATCCCATAAAGCTACTTAAGTTCAACACTTTCCATCAGTGAAATTGGATGTATATGGACTTCTTGTGCTGCCAAACTGAACTCGCTTTATCCAATTATAAAAACCAAACCAAAACCAAACAAAAACCACTTTTAAACTGAGCCAACATCTTCACTCTTAGTGGAAAGTCAGCTCAGTCAGCTTTGTATTTCCTAAACAGCCAGAAAAATGCTGCCTACCAACAAAATTTATTATCCAAAATAACATAAACTTACTGCAAGACCGATTTAAGATAACAAAGATGAAAGCAAAGATAAACGGAAACGTTGCTCTCAGGTAGTTTGCTTGTCTTATTTAAAATAGCAGCAGACGTGTAAACATATCAGTGACTTTCAGACCAGGTCCTGCTCAGGGCAAACCCAATCTGGCCCAATTCACTGCAGTCAAAAGCACACCTGTGGTAACCACGATTTCTGCAAGGCAGTGTTGCAGAAAAGAGCCACAATACATGTCTTTTCTTCCAGCTGTGACGTTTCTTGAAGCATCAAGTCTCAACCCCTCTCAAATCCTCTTTTCTTTCTGTCAGCCACGGGGGACACTGCCGCCCTCCGCCCACGCCTGGGAGCCTGTTCACATCTTCTTACCCATGACCGTGACTTGAACCAAACCCCATACAGATCATTGTTTGCAAAGAGAAATCAAACATACGGCAAGGAAGCTAAAACAGGTAATATACAGTATGTTGACACAGGAGTATGTGCTAATAAAGGGGTGCATGAAGCCAGAATATAAGTCATCATTACACTCTATCGCTCCCGTTTCTCTAGGTTTGCAGAGTATTTTATCTACAGTTTGGCTTTTCAAAATAGTTAAAAGATGAAAGAAATCATTTCAATCAAGAACATTTTGTACTTTACACGCCATCGGATTTACCCATCCTTGGCAGCACTAATTTCACCTCAGAGGTCCCTCACAGACCCCAGCGCCGCCATTCCCTTCCCACTCTGGGACTCCAGTTC